CCCTAAAACCAAGTTGAGGGGGGTTTAAATACTCATGAAACCCTAAAAGTTCATGGGCTTGGGCTGCAACAACTTTCACGTCATGAGCATCCCTTACTCACGTCATGAGAAGGGTCCTAATACGCGATCCTTCTTTGGTTTGTCACGTCGTGACCATCTATGGCTCACGTCATGACACTTAGTTTCCCCAAATTCCACTTCAACTTCAAACGATCATAACTTCTTGGTTTCAACTCCTATTTCAGCGTTCTTTTATATCCATAGAAAGGTCTTAAAGAGCTCCACGACTCTGTCTTATTACTTTGGCTCACCACATGCCAAACTTATAATCTTCACCTCCACAAGCGACCCTACACATAACTTCCCCCAGTCCAACCTCGGGTCCAAATACACAATTCCCAGGCCTTGGTCCCATTATTAGCACATATCATTTTCCAAAAGGCCCAAATCTTACTTCTTTAAAGCCCCGAAGCATACACGTGACCGAATTATAGTCAACGATCCTGAATCATAGAACGATGTAAAATAGGGTGTTACAGGTGGTTTTAGGGCTAAGCTTAGTACGTTGGGCATATAGGGAGTACGTTGGACGTACTAGGATGGATGATCGCGAATGGCCCTTGGAGTACGTTGGACGTACTCCAGTCAGGTGCAAACCCTAATTTAGGGTCTTGGACCCTATTTAAAGTCCTTAACTTATGTGAAAATCCTATTATCTTCAGCTTCCATCAACCTTAACCCTAAGATTGAAACACTAGCCTTCCTTTTGAGTAATCTTGCCTTTTGGGTGATTTGGAGTGTTTTTGGTACACATTGAAGAGGAAGGAGCTCATTGGAGAAGTGCTGGTTGTCTTGAAGCTTGTAGATCTTGGCCTTGTTCTTCTTGTTCTATCTTCTGGAGGTATAAAGTCTTTAACTTGATGGCTTATCTTGTAGATTTTGTTTGGGTGGCAATTTGTCATGTTGTTTGGGTGGCAATTTGTCATGTTGTGGTCCCATGATTGTGGTTCTTGTGAGTAGAAGTTACTCTAAAACCATTGAGCCTCATATTTGGTCCTTGTTGAGGTCATTAAGTCATAAAGTTTGGATCTTGTGGAGTTTTATCCCTTCATGCAAGAATTAGTGACCATCTTATGTAGTTAAGAAGCTTGGATTGTGGTTTAGACCCCCATTAAGCCATGCAAAGTCATAAAGTCAAGAACTTTATGACTTAAGACACCCTTTAAGGGTCAGATCCATGTTTGGACGTTTTGGTCTTAACCATTAAGAGCTCAATATGAGTTTTGGCCCTCTGATGAGTACGCTGGGCGTACGCTCAGCGTAATGCATGGATTCCACGTGTTAAGCTTCGATAACTTGTACGTTGTGCAGCGGCGGACAATACGCGGGGCATACGCTTCTGGTACGCGGGGCGTACTCCCGAAAAGTCCATTTTGGTGCTTTTTGGCCTTGGGCCTTTTGGAGGTTGGGCTAGTCCCATTGTATGTTATGTAGGGCGCTAGCTGTCTCTATGACTCTTGCATTTATATGTCGGGTTGGGCCCATTATGGTGGGTTGGGCCCAATATGTGGGCTAGGCTCAATGATATGTATGGTATGTAGTATTTGGGGAACTCACTAAGCTTTGTGCTTACAGTTTTTATGGTTATGGTTTCAGGTACTTCCGCTTCGAAAGGGGAGGGCCAGACTTGATCGCAGCGCATCCACCCATGTTTCTGCAACTTGATGATTTTGGGATTGTACTCTGAGAACTGTTTTGTTATGATATACTTTTGAATGTTTGGAAAAAGATAATTAATGTTTCTGGTTAAACTAAAAATGAAACTTTTACCTTATAATTTTTGGGTCGTTACATAATTAATTTGGAATAAAAAAAACTTGTACATGTGGTAAGTGGGAGGTATCTAAATATTCTTGTTCTCATGTCTTGATGGCATATTTCAAACTTTTCTTGAAGTGGCAATATATTTATAAATGTTATTCAATAATAGAGTATTATTCTACCTGGGCATTAGAGTTTTCCCCACTTCCTAATGAAGCGTATTGGTCACAATCGTCATCTAGAGAATTGCTTCCAAATTTAGAGCTTTTACGGAATAAAAAAGGTCGTCATTTCTCAACGAGACTACGAAATGGAATGGACATCAAAGAAGGGAAAAATGGATACCTTTGAGGAATTTGTAGGTAAAGTGGTCATAATCGGAAAAAATGTCCGTCTAAGCCAAGGTAAATGAAGAAACATTAAAGCTAATCGACTTAAGCAATAGAAATGTTTCCTTTTTTCCTTTTCGTTTTTGTAAGAAGTTATTGTTGGATTTGTACCAAAAAAAATTGTACGTTTGATGTTGGTTTTAATTTAAGATGTCTAGCATTATCGTTCAATCAATTTCTTGTGATGATGAAATGAGAGAAAATATGTTTGTATTTTTTTTTTATAAAAGTTAATAGCAAAGAGTTAAAAAAAAGGTAAAAAGTTATATTTAAAAAACAATAAAATAAAAAAAAAATATATCTGAAAATATTAAAAAAAAGGTAAAAAAAACACGGTGTTGGTAAATATTAAAACAATAGCTGAAATTTTAGAAAGGTAAAAAAAAAAACACTGTTTTGATTAATATTTTGACTACTATATTTTTTGGTAAATATGTTTGAAATTACACCTATTTGTTAATTTTTTTTTCAAACATTTATTTGAAAACAAAAAAACCTAATTAGGTGTTAATTAAGAATTTAAGGTTACAATTAGTAACGGGATACGTAAAATAACACCCTAAAGGTGTGGCTTCATTTATCCCTACCCCTTTCTATCCCTACTCCTCAATCATTATTTTTACTAATAATTAGATAATGATTACATACTTTTTCTAATTATTAGCGATTCATTTTATCATAGCCAATCAAATTTAAAAGTATAAATCTATTTACATACCAAATAATTTAATGTTTTACATCTAAAAAAAACATGTATTCACAATAAATAAATATTTTCAATTTTTAGAAGTATTATAAAAATTAGTGTTCTTATTAAAAGAAAGTACATAAATGATATTCAATATTTTTTTAATAAAAAAATTGATTTTTTTGTTAAAGTAAATACACATACAAAAATTATAAACTATATTAAGTTCGAGGGTATAAAAAGCACACCTTTAGGGTGTTATTTTACGTATCCCGTTACTAATTGTAACTGAAAAAGATATTTTGTGTTTATTTTACGTATCCCGTTACTAATTGTTACTAATTTGTTAAAGCAAATACATTCTTCAGTATATTAAAAAAGATATTTTGTGTTTATTGGTTAATAATATGAAAAAGCTGTTATAAAAATTAAAAGTATAAAACCTGTACCAAATTAGTAATAATTAAAAGGGTAGGAAGATAAAAACGGGGGTATTAATAACAGATCCCTAAAGGTGTTTATGTGACTTGAGCTAACTAAATTCGCCTTTTAGCAGGAGCTGCAATCTCGATACAACGATCATCAAATCTTCTCTCTCCATCTTAAAAGGGTGTTGTTATATACATATTAGTCTAGTAAACCCTAATCTAAAATAAATTAACCTTGACATTTATATTAATCATTACAACTAATATTATTGGATGTTGCTATATAACTTATACAAACTTTTTATCAAAGTCAACTATATTGGATTTTGTATATGTCGGTTATTAATAAATATTATTAAAATATACATGAGTTTAACATATATTTTAAAAGAAAAAAATTATATCTTTTAAGAAATTTTGATATAAAAACACCGGGTGGCAAACCCTTAAAAAAACCAATGGAACTTAGGGCGTGTTCGGAAAAACTAGCTGGTAGTGAGTAGTTTTTTATTAAACGCTACGTGAGATGGTTTTTAGATTTGAAGCGTTTTGTTTAAACTAAACGCTAAAGGCTTATAGTGTCAAACGAGACTTTTTGTTCAAAACCAAACGTTTTATCAAACGCTGAAAGCTAGAAGCTCTCAAACTCTATGTGCCAAACACACGATTAATCGTACATAGATTGACAACCAAAGTAGTGTACATATCTTTTAATAATAAAAAAACAAAGTAAAGAGTTTAAACCTGCTTGGATTAGCAGCCAAAAGAGAAGGCGCGTGGTCTTACTACGTTTTTTTTAAGAAATTAAATATCCTTCTACATTTTCTTTATCGTAATCTTCTTACCGATGTTAATTATTGAATATTTGTTATATTTAATAAAATTAATATTAATCTTCTACATTAATAATATGTTAATATATTTGTCACTATAGATAAGAAGATAAATAAAAAAAATAGAATAATATATATATATTCTTTTAATAAAATAAAATAAAAACTTGTATTTGGATATTAGATCAGGTGCAACAGCCCATTATAGAATCAGCCATTCTGCACACATGGGAGATCGGGAGTTGGGATCTGAGATATGGGATATCAAACGGGGATCATCGAATCACACTCCCATCATAAAACCCTGGCCAATAAGATAATTACAAATTGTCAATCTACACTGTGAGATCCCATGAGATCTGGATATGGAAGATCATCGAATCTTCCGAAGCGTCAAATTGCCAAAACGTTATAATATAATATAATCATAAGGTAAGATCTGGGCGTTTGTTAATATTTCTTACAAATTGCCAAATTGCCAAATCGAATTTGTTAATATAATATAATATAATATAATCAAATTTGTTACCCATATCTCACCTTAAGAAATATAATATAATATAATAAGTGGGGTTTCATAATTTTTGGCCAAAACGCTATAATAACAGAAATATGAAATCTGGGCGTTTTGGTAATTTCAGCGACAAGTCAACAACGCTATAATATAATCACAAATTTCCCATAAGATAATCACAAATTGCTAATCTACACAGATGTGAGCGGGAAATGACATGGGGATCATCAGTATAAAACCGTAGCAACCCTGACTATTTGGGACAATACCATTCTAACACCTTATCTAAAACACAACAACTCGAAGCATCTCTAATGGCATCTGCTAATGCAATTTCTACAGCTTCTATCATCTGTTCCCCTGAACAGGTATTTAAAAAAAAAAAAAAAATACTCGAGTTAAATCTGATTGCTCTGTGTTATTTATGTCGGATTCTGTTGTTATGAGCAGCAGCAGGGGAGATTGAGAAATGGTAATGGTGTGTTAGCCAATTCCGGATTGCGAGGCAATTGCATCATCATCGCCGGTTCGCGGTTCGCGCCAAGGCTAATGAGGTTATCTATGATCAGAGTGCCAGAAAGGCTATAGGGGCCGGTATCAATATACTTGCTGATGCTGTTGCTCTTCGTCTTGGCCCTAGAGGAGGTATTACTATCTTAATTTTAATTTTACTTTTATATTACAACACTAGTTACAGTAACCATCATATTCCAAATTCTGCTAATTTGGGTTATAATGAACAATAGTATCTCTAACTTGCCATTGTTATTCTGTATAGGACGGGATATTGTGATTGTGAAAGATGGTGCCCCAATGGTTGTTAATGATGGCGTTTCAATTGGCAAATCTATTGAGCTATCTGATGCCAATGAAAACGCTGGCGCTGCTCTTATCAAAGAGGTTTGACTTTGACCCAACTACTTGTGCCGTATTCTATATAAAATTTGTTGACAACTTGAAGTTTATTTCATATATAGGTTGCAAGCAAAACCAAGGAGTCAGCTGGTGATGGGACAACAACCGCATCGGTTATTGCACGTGAAATAATCCAACTCGGTATCGCAAGTGTTGTGAAATACGAAGGATCCGAATAGACTTAAATAATATTAGCTCAATGCGGAATGGGATCAAAAATTATCAAATCGTAATAATCACAACGTAATACGAATAAAATAAATAGAATAGAGACACAGGAATTTACGTGGAAACCCAAATCGGGAAAAAACCACGGGCGAAGGAAGCCGAGAAACAATTCACTATAATTTGCAGTGTTTACAGGGATTATGAAAGAGATTACAAATAGAGTGAGAGAGCTAAAATATATGATGGTGTATCAGTGTATATATATATATATATATATATATATATATATATATGTAATGTTTTACTATATATATATATTTGATTGTTGGGTTCATGTTAAACCTTTCTGTCTTAGGCTATTTATAGCCAAAACAAAAAACATATGAAAGGAAAGAAAAAAAAAGACGTTCAAAATTGTAGGCGGAAAAATTTGTAGGTGCATTGACCACCGTCCATTCTTCATTCCAAATTCTCATATATATTATAAGATTTTGACCACCGTCCATTCTCATTTCAATTAACATATATATTACTATTCATAGTCAAACTATGAATAGTAAATGATAAGTTACGGAAATAACCCCTGAACTATTTGCCACTTGCTAATTTTTGAGGCAACTTTTCCACAATCTCCACCTTGACATCAAAATTAAGCAAGTCATGCTTTACGATTAGTCAAAACCTATAGCTCTTCAAACTCTAAAACTTCCATAAGAACCTGCAAAATTATATAGAGAAAAATTGTTTCCGAATAAATAATACTTCCTCCACCACGAGCCTTCAGGCTCAACTGCGATCAGAAACACCCACCATGTCCAAACATAATTTGAACTTGGCTATAGGAAGACTTTTAGTGAACATATCAGCGGGATTATAATCTGTATGAATCTTGTCCACAACACAATCACCTTCTTCAATGATATTTCGCACAAAATGATAACGAATATCAATATGCTTTGTTCGGTCATGAAACATTTGATCTTTACTCAAGAAGATAGCACTCTGGTTGTCACAGAAAACTGTGGTCACCTTTATTCTATCATCGAGTTCTCCGAATAACCCCTTCAACCAGATATCTTCCTTAACTGCTTCTGTAATCGCCATGTACTCTGCCTCGGTAGAAGACAGGGCAACTGTAGACTGTAACTGGGCTTTCCAACTAACAGCACAACCATTTAGTGTAAACACATACCCTGTAATTGATCTTCGTTTATCCAAATCTTTTCCATAATCTGAATCAACATATCCGAACACCCCAGTGTTAGATTTGCCAAAACGTAAACACATGGAAGACGTACCTCGTAAATAACGAAAAATCCACTGTGCTGCTTTCCAGTGTTCTTTCCCCGGGTTCGCCATGTATCTACTAACCATGCTAACAGCATAAGCCAAATCAGGGCGTGTGCAGATCATAGCATACATTAAAGATCCAACAGCACTAGAGTATGGAACACGTGCCATGTAAGCCATATCAGTCTCATTAGTAGGACTCATAGCGGATGATAGCTTGAAATGAGCTGCAAAAGGTGTGTTGACAGACTTTGCTTCGTGCATATTGAAGCGTCTTAGGACTTTCTCAATATAACTTTTCTGAGAAAGATGCAAGATCCTAGACTTCCTGTCACGAATAATTTCCATACCTAAAATCTTTTTGGCAGCTCCTAAGTCCTTCATTTCAAATTCAGCTTTCAACTGGTCTTTTAACTTCTGAATCTCCTTCATATCTTTTGCTGCAATCAACATGTCATCCACGTACAAGAGTAAGTAGATCTTTGAACCGTTGTCACCTTTCTTGAAATAAACGCAGCTATCATAGGTGCACCTGCAGAATTTGTGACTGGTCATGAAAGAATCGAACCTCTTGTACCATTGTCTAGGAGACTGCTTGAGGCCATAAAGAGATTTGTTCAACTTGCATACGTAGTTCTCCTTTCCAGGAACTACAAAACCTTCAGGTTGTTGCATAAAAATCTCTTCCTCAAGCTCACCATTTAGGAAAGCTGTAGTGACATCAAGTTGTTCTAACTCAAAATCATTAGAAGCAACCAACCCCAACAATACACGAATGGAAGTATGTTTGACAACTGGGGAATAAATGTCAGTGTAATCAATACCAGGAATCTGACTGTAGCCTTTAGCTACTAACCGAGCCTTGTATCTTGGTTTATCATTTGGGTTGACAGGTTCCTTGAGCTTATAGACCCACTTGCATTTAACTGGTCTCTTCCTTTTCGGAATAGGAACTAAATTCCAAGTACTGTTTCGCTGCAAGGATTCCATCTCATTTTGCATAGCGAGCATCCAATCATTTGAGTCTTCAGATTTGATAGCCTCGTCATAATTCGCAGGTTCCGTTGCGTACTCAATATTATCAGCAACAATAAAAGCATAGGCAACTAAATCAGATTCAGCATACCTCTTCGGAGGAATAATCTGTCTTCTCGGTCTATCTCTTGCAATGCTTGGAGTAGTAGCTTGTGGTTGTGAAGGTGTTGAATCTTCACCAACAACATGCTCATCCGACGAAGAAGAATCTTGATGCTGATTTGTACTCTGATTAGTGGTAGGTGAAGTAGGAAGCTCCACCTCCATTTGAGCATACTCTTTATTTGCTTCGGATGATACATCTGATGCATCTGTTCTTTTAGAAGAGTCAGCAACTGGTTGAATCATAGCAGACTCATCAAAAGTAACATCTCTTGAGATGATAATTTTCTTCAAATCAAAGCTCCATAACTTGTAACCCTTTACACCTTGATTGTACCCAAGAAAAACGCATTTGATTGCTCTTGGTTCTAGCTTCCCATTGTCAACTCGTGCATACGCTGGACATCCGAATGGTTTTAAATCTGAATAATTTGCAGGTTTACCGGACCATAATTCAAACGGAGTTTTCTTCTCGATTGCTCGTGACGGTGATCGGTTGATAACATAGCAAGCAGTCGAAGCAGCCTCCGCCCAAAAAGACTTTGGCAATTTGGAATTAGAAAGCATACACCGGACCTTCTCCATAATGGTGCGATTCATCCTTTCAGCTACACCATTTTGTTGAGGTGAATGGACTACTGTGCAATGTCGAGTAATGCCTTCCTTTTGACAATAGACATTAAACTCTTCTGAGCAAAACTCAAGTCCATTATCCGTACGAAGATACTTTACCACCAGACCTGATTGCTTTTCAACCTGAACTTTCCAATTTCTGAAGGTATAGAAAACGTCTCCTTTATGTTTTAAGAAGAAAGACCACACCTTCCTGGAGAAATCATCAATAATAGTGAGCATATAAATAGCTCCACCTTTTGAAGCAACTCGAGCCGGTCCCCACAAATCCGAGTGAACATAATCAAGTGGTCCTTTCGTTGTATGGATGCCACTTGCAAACCTCACTCGTTTTGCCTTGCCATATACACAGTCTTCACAGAAATCCAAATCAACAATCTTTTGTTGACCAAGTAAACCTCTTCGACTCAATTCTGACATGCCTTGAAAACTCATATGGCCGAGTCGAAGGTGCCAAAGACGGGACTGATCTGGATCAGAAAAAGACTTTGACACAACAGCAGCATCACTCGAAATTGTTTGCCCGTCAAGAAAGTAAAGATCTGAGGTTTTTCGTTTGGCTCTCAGTTTGTCGGAGCCGTCTTTGAATACCCTGAGAACTCCACCTTTACCAGCAAACTCGTATCCCCTTTTGTCAAAGGAACTGAGAGATAACAAGTTTCTTCTGAGGTCAGGAACATATCTAACATCCCCCATGGTTCGAATAACTCCGTCAAACATACGGATCCTGACTGAACCATGTCCAAGAACTGGACATGTAGTATTGTTACCCATCAACACATAGCCCTGGTTAACCTTTTCAAATGTGTAAAACCAACTTTTGTTGTGACACATATGAAAAGTACAACCAGAGTCGAGTATCCAATCACCAGTGGAATCCAGTTTATCTGAATAAACTGTCAAAAGTTCTCCAATACCTTCCACCTCAGCTACATCGGCTTCACCCGAAGTGCTAGCTTGTTTACCATTTGCTGCCGTCTTCTCTTTTTCTTTATTTTTCAACTTGAAGCATTCTTCAAGCACATGTCCCTTCTTGTGACAATAGTTGCAAAACTTTCGTTTGCCTTTTGATTTGGATCTGGTTCTGTTGGAAGATTGAGAAGTTCTACTTCTCTCTGTTGTTCTTCCTCTGGCATTCAAACCTTCGGCTTTAGCATCACTTGAACCACCACCAGTAATATGCTTCATCTTCTCTTTGGAATCCAAAGCTGTATAGACTTCATCTAAAACTAAAGTGTCACGGCTATAGATAATAGTATCACGAAAATGGCTATAGGATTCTGGCAACGACGACAGTAAGAATAAAGCCAAGTCTTCATCTTCATACTGAACATCCATATTCTCTAAGTTATTTACTAACTCTTTAAATGTGGATATATGTTCAGTTAAAGAGCCTCCTTCAATCATCTTGAGATTGAACAACCGTTGCTTCAAATGCAACTTGTTTGGTAAGCTCTTGGTCATCAACAGTTGCTCCAACTTTAGCCATAAAGAAGCCGCTGACGTTTCTTTTAGAACATCTTGCAAAACATCGTTTGACAAGTGCAAATGAATCTGGGATAAAGCCTTCAGATCTTTCATCTCCTTTTCTTCTTCGGTCCATGTATCGGGCATCTTATTGAAACCCAAAAGCGCCTTGTGTAAATCCATCTGAATGAGAATGTCTCTCATCTTTACTTGCCACAACGGAAATCGTGTGTTACGATCCAGTAGTGGAATATCGTATTTTACCGAAGACATGATTAATTACTTGATAAAATGATCCCAATGAGCTAATATTACAACCCGGATGCTCTGATACCAATTGTTGTGAAATACGAAGGATCCGAATAGACTTAAATAATATTAGCTCAATGCGGAATGGGATCAAAAATTATCAAATCGTAATAATCACAACGTAATACGAATAAAATAAATAGAATAGAGACACAGGAATTTACGTGGAAACCCAAATCGGGAAAAAACCACGGGCGGAGGAAGCCGAGAAACAATTCACTATAATTTGCAGTGTTTACAGGGATTATGAAAGAGATTACAAATAGAATGAGAGGGCTAAAATATATGGTGGTGTATCAGTGTATATATATATATATATATATATATATATATATATATATATATATATATATATGTAATGTTTTACTATATATATATATATATATATATATATATATATATATATTTGATTGTTGGGTTCATGTTAAACCTTTCTGTCTTAGGCTATTTATAGCCAAAACAAAAAACATATGAAAGGAAAGAAAAAAAAAGACGTTCAAAATTGTAGGCGGAAAAATTTGTAGGTGCATTGACCACCGTCCATTCTTCATTCCAAATTCTCATATATATTATAAGATTTGACCACCGTTCATTCTCATTTCAATTAACATATATATTACTATTCATAGTCAAACTATGAATAGTAAATGATAAGTTACGGAAATAACCCCTGAACTATTTGCCACTTGCTAATTTTTGAGGCAACTTTTCCACAGCAAGTGTCACCTCCGGTGCTAATGCCGTCTCAGTAAAGAAAGGCATTGACAAAACTGTAGCTGCTCTGGTTCAGGAGCTGGAAAAGAAAGCCACACCTGTTAAAGGTCATGATGATATCAAAGCCATTGCATCGATGTCTGCTGGAAATGATGATGTCATTGGAACCACGGTTGCTGATGCCATGGACAAGGTTGGACTAGATGGTGAGTTGTCCATCGAATCATCGTCCTCCTCCTTAGAGTCGACAACTGTTGATGTTTAAGAAGGAATGGTGGTATGTATTACTTTGTAGTAATATTAAAACTAGTAGATCAGTATCATCAATGACAAATTAAACAAGTCTGTGTATTTTCTCCAAATTTGCAGATTGACAGAGGATACATCTCCCCAATGTTTGTTACTGACCCTGAGAAAATAACCGTGGAATTCGAGAACGCCAGAGTGTTGGTCACAGACAAAAACATATCTTCAAACAAAGACATAACCCCATTGTTGGAGAAAAGAAACCAGTTAGGTGGTCCTTTGTTGATTATTGCTGAAGATGTCACTGGTGAAGCTTTAGGTACTCTTGTAGTAAACAAATTGCGAGGCGACCTCAAGGTGGCTGCCATTAAAGCTCCTGGTTTTGGTGAAAGAAGAAAAGCACTCCTTCAAGACATTGCCATCATGACAGGTAATTAATTGCTAACTATATTTCTTCATATCATTCAACAACTTAATTAATTGTATGTGTTTGGTAATATTTGTTCTGGTCTTAAATATATTTAGGAGCTAAGTACCTATCGAGTGAGTCGGGTTTGCTTATCGAAAACATATCAGTTGAGCAACTTGGAAAGGCTAAAAAGGTCACAATCAGCAAAGACACAACCACCATCAGCCTTGATGGTGCATCTAAAGATAAGATCGAGTCGAGAATTTCTGAAATCAAGAAAGAATTATCCGAAACAGATTCGATCTACGATTCTGAAGAACTAGCAAAACGAATCGCGAATTTATCCCGCAAGGTCGCTATCATAAAAGTGGGTACTGCATCGGCAGACCAGAAATCCCGTTTTGCAGCAATAAAAGAAGGAATAGTCCCTGGAGGTGGTGCTGCATTTGTCCACCTGTCAACATTAGTTCCTGGTATTAAGGAAACGCTTGATAATGCGGATGAACGTTTGGGTGCTGATATTATTCAAAAGGCGATTGTGGCACCTGCATCATTGATTGCACAGAACGCCGGAATTGATGGTGATGTGGCTGTTGAGAAGGTGAAGGAAGGGGAGTGGGAGATGGGGTATAACGCAGTGACTGATAAGTATGAGAATTTGGTGGAGGCCGGAGTTGTTGATCCGGCGAAGGTGGCACGATCTGCACTTGAGAATGTGGCTTTGGTTGCAGGGAGGGTGTTGATTACATAGGGGACTCTGCTTGATAACATCATGGCTATGTCGGATGTGGCTGTTGTGTAGTGTAACTATTCTTTTGTTCGTGTTTTACATTTCAAAATAAGATTGAAATATGATATATTTCAATACAACATGATATGGATCAGTTGAAATTTCTTGGCAAGGCTACAGTGAAAATAAAAGTTTAACTTTGTTATGTAGTATAAATTTATTTATATTGTATAGCTGTTTAGGTAAATCTAATACAACTTCTCTTTGTTTTTCCATTGTTACTACTAATGGCAATCAATATCTTCACATGATCACATCACAACAATACATTATAGTATTATGCATAACTCCACTTGCAAATACTTTAATAAGTATATTTTACTGTTTAAATAAATTTGAAGTTCCTGTTGACATGATAAAGAAACTAAAAGTCATGCATGAAATCAAACATTACTAATATATTTGGCTAATCAAAACCCAAATTAATTGAATTCATATTCAATTAATGTATCTGCAAACTAAGGAATCATATAAATAACTCACAAAATTGATATGCCGGGTTGCTAAAATCCAATCTAGGAATCCAAAAGGACATTTGTGTATCTAGGCACAAAAACACAAGCCAAATTGTCACACGAGTTCTGAGTTTGTTGTAGAAGAGAGACAGAGAGCTCAGAAGGGTTCTGTGTATATCGACGACACTATAGAGGAGTCGACGACACAAGATTTGTCAATCTTACCATAATCATCCACTAGAATTCGGTTTTTCCATAATGAAACTAATTCAAATTTCTGAAGACCTTTTGGGGCGTTGCCCCTTGGACCCTGCTAGGGGCGCTTCCTCGAGGACCCTGCAATGGAGCTGTAACTAGGGGTGAGCATTTGGACATGTTGACCGGACCTGGACACGTTTTTTGGACCGTCGGGCTGGTTCTCGGTTCTAGGATTTGCTCAAAACCGGTCCGGTTTTTTTACCGATTCGGTCCGGCCGGTTCCGGGTAAAAACCGGTTATGGACATGGTTTAATTTTGTTTGACACACATGCGGTGTTTCTTCATTTTTTCCGGAGATCCAACGGTTTGTTTTCTTTGAATTTTGGACAACTGCTTCCTAACAACGGGACCTTCTTATCCAACGGTTGAATTGTCGAGATCAGTTCCAGAGACTTGGAAAACGTAGTTTCTGTTTGTTGCTGGAAAACAACATTTGGTGATATTCATTCCTTTCTCTTTGTTGTTTGATTCCATATACTTCAACTCATCACAAGTCTTACAAAGGGTGTAATCAAAAGTAATAGAATAAAAAAGAAAGAATGAAAATTGGATTGGAGATGATGATGATGAAACTCAAGTTAGTTTTGATTAATTTTGTTAAATTTTTTGTTGAATGTTATAAAGTATGAAGTTATATCTAGTTGATTTATTGTGGAAAACTTTTATTGTGATTATAAGAAAACTAGGTTACTAAGTTATTTTGATTGTATGAAAACTTTTTCCGGAATGTTTCCAAGTTTTACATAGAAGAAAGAACAAACATGATTCAATTTTTAAGTAACCCAAAGACCGCTATACATTTGACAACATGGTTTATTTATGAGTACAAGTCACAAATTTTTCTTTATGACAACATTCATGTTTCCTTTTAGTTGTCTATGTGAAAGAAGTCGATGATGCCATGGTTCTTCGTTTATTGTAGATAGACTTAAAGCATGCTTGTCTCAATCCAATATCAATATTGCTTCCCTCAACTTCCCTTCTGCTCTCCCAACAGACTCCTTACTGAATTCCTCCTGCATGATGTTAATTAAACACTTCAACTTGTAATGTGGAAAACAATTTGTGAAAGAAAAAGAAATGTTGTGTAACCTGGACATTGTTAATAAGAGTTTGTAGGATCATAAGTTTGCGATGAGGCCACCGACAAATGCCCAAGTCTCTACAACGTTTCTTCAACAGTGTAATTCCAACGTTCAGCTCCTTTGCTGCCTGTTTAATTGGCATATAAAAATATTTAGCGATAATTTCCCGCTCATTTATAGCAGTGTACTTTGTAAAAATTATCTTTTATGGCATTTCAAGATGGTTTCTGGAAAAAAGTTTGATTATATGTTTAAATGTAGAAAATGATATCACTTGATGTTGTGAAATTGTTAACTTTTGTATCGTATCAAACCCAAAAACGTATTCATTTTAACGAATTATACTGTATGCATGTAAAGTTGTACCGTTCCAACCGTATCCAAAACCTAGAAAAACTGGACCTGGACCTGTCTCATCCGGTTCGGTCCACGGTCCACAATATTATCCGAAACCGGTCCGGTCCGGTCCAAATGCTCACCCCTAGATTTAAAACTCTTTGTTCAAGTAATTTCATTTTTGGCCCAAAAGTTAACTCGTTTAATTAGTCACAAAGGTTCGAGGTGGTACGCTGGGCGTACTGCCGCTGTGCTTAACCCTAACTTTTTAGGGTTTGAGCCCTATATAATGTCCTTAACTCCTTGAGACTTTTTCTCCATCAGCCTCCAACCCCAAAAAATGTCCCATTGAAAACCTTACTCCCTTGGTGTGTATTTTTGAGCTTGAATGTGTGTATTCTTGTGCTTGTGAAGGAGAAAGAAGGCGGTGGACTAGCTTGGGAAGTTCAAGGAAACTTAAATCTAGAAGTATCTCTCCCTCAAGCCTCTTCAGAAGGTATAAAGCTTAGAACTTGATGATTTAATTGCTAGGATCTTGCTAGTCTAGAGTTTGTGTACATTTTTGGTCCCCATAGTCTTGGTTAATGGGGTATGAGCTACTCTAGGTCCTTGAGGTGTAGTCTTCTATAGTTTTGAGCTCATAGATTCATAAAAATGAGAGCCTGGTCACTCTCATTAAGTCATGCATGAGTTTTAGAGCCTTGGATGACTTTTGGACCTAGGGTTTGAATGTACACCCTTTTGTATGCATGCAAATGGATAAAGTCAAAGACTTTATCTGTCGAGACGTCCCATTTTACCTAGATCTGAAGTTTGGGGCGGTTGCTTGTTGTATTAAGAATTTAATAAGAAACTTTGGGTCCAAAGCTAGTACGTCGGGCGTACTTAGTGGTACGTTGAGCATACTGATGAGAAACCCCGTATCCAAGAAGGGTCTCACTACGCTGCGCATAGTGACTGAGTACGCAGAGCGTACTCAGCCTATATGGACTCATTAACGTTTTGAATTTGACCAGAATTTTAACCAAATTTGACTTAGGGGTATTTTGGGTATTTTGAGTAGTAGATTGAGTTTAGGTCACTGTTTATTGTATAGGTGACCGATAGAGTCCGCAGTTGGAGCAGTTACCTGTTCAGCTACATTTCAGATTGTGAGCTGAGTTTTCCTCACTATAATTGTGGGTCGAAGGCACCAATGCCGACCCACTGGATTATGTATCCTGGTATATTGGATTGATGTTATGCTGGTTATATGATAGACTGGTAGATCTGTATGATTACTTGCGTTCACTGAGTATGTGTTAGAATGGTAGATCTGTATGATTACCTGTACTTGCTGGTTATTGATTGTTATTGTATATGTCGACATGTTATGGTTTGTTGGGTTGAGGCGGTCCTGCTTTGTGTATAAGGCCAAGATACACAGGGCGGTCCGGATAGACTGAAGGCCGGAGAAGCGGTCCAGTCAGGCCGAAGGCCTAGAGAGCAGGCTCATATATGCATGCTGTTATTTGTATGGTTGTCTGTGGTACCTTGGGGGAACTCACTAAGCTTTGGCTTACAGTTTGATGGTTATAATTTCAGGTACTTCAGAGGACAGGGGCAAGGCGAAGGCTTGATCATGCACATCCTTCAGATTTTATGATATTTGATTTTGGGATACTCTGATTTGAGATTATAACTTTTGGAAACTATGTGTAACGTCCCAATTTTCGAGTCCAAAAATTTCTTTTTAATTAATTGAAACATAAAAACATTCACAAGAAAATACCGGGAAAACACATCATCCCATAAGACAATGATCAATGTCTAAAATCCAAGTCATAAAATAATAACATATCAGAATACAATCCCAGAAACTCCATGCGGAAATCGTGTGTGTGTGTGCGATGCGATGCTACACCGCCGACTCATTCCCCTTAGACGAAGAGGTACCTGAAACCAAAACCGAAACCGTAAGCACAAAGCTTAGTGAGTCCCCCCATCATACCACATACCATACAGTATCCTCGATATCTTTCAACCGGTAATCATCGTCGGTATCTTTCGACCGGTAATCCTCATCGGTATCTTTCAACCTGTAATCATCATCGGTATCTTTCAACCGGTAACCATCATCGGTATCTTTCAACCGATAATCCTCATCGGTATCTTTCAACCGGTAACTGGGGACTATTCCACCCCCTACCACTAGCATACAACAACAAGATATAAACATACAGTCAGGCATATCCGGGTACTGACCTACCCTTCGGTCCTAAGGACCGCTACCAGGGAAACTAATCCCTATCATACACGTAACATATCATACAAATAAAACTCATGACCAAAGCATGTAACCAAACCAAGATAATTATCACAAAGACAATCATCTCCTAAATACTCCTCTTTGGTGGGCCGGCATTGTGGCCTTAGACCCACCCCTACTGGAAGGTAACTCACCTCGTACGAGAAACTGCTGATAAGCTGTGCGGGAAACCTCCGTCCGCTGCTGCTCCGGAAATCCTCCGGCTACAATCCCCACAAAACACTCAGTTAGAAACTGATATCTACTCTTAGGGTAAAATGACCATTTTACCCCTAACCAAGTCCAAGTCAAAGTCAACTTCCAGTTGACCCGACTCGCTGAGTTGGTCCGTCAACTCGTCGAGTCCCTTCCCTTTACTCGTCCTTATCCACGACTCGACTCGTCGAGTTTGGCAACGATTCGACGAGTTCCCCCCTCTTTAAGAACATCAATGAACCTTCATCCGACTCGCCGAGTCGGATGAACACTCGCCGAGTTCACCTTCAACTGATGAACAAGTCCTGACCTCGACTCGCCGAG